TCGCAGTGAGCACAGGAGAGAATCAACAACAAACTCTACTCACATACAACGATCGAGTACAGGAATCGAAACCTGGTCGCATTGAGCACAGGAAAGAATCAACAACAAACTCCACTCACATACACCGATCGAGTCCAGGAATCGAAACCTGGTCGCAGTGAGCACAAGAGAGAATCAACAACAAACTCTACTCGCATACACCGATCGATATAAAAAAAACGAAAAGAAAAAAAAACTATGAGAGTTGAGTTGCTGCTTTGCAAGCGTTTTTGGTCGTATGAAATACTTTTATAGTATTGATTGTTTTCCCCTTTTTTGGTAGTTGGACAAATTCAATCAGAAAAGCAGTGGAAGTCTTTCAAAAAATGATCTCTTCACGTAAGTAAATCTATTTTTAATTACCTTACACGACTTGGACATCCATTGCGCATGACAGAGCATTCTGGGAGCAATTCCAACCCAATGCTTAACTGAAAATAAGAGCACCAATTTAAGTCTTTTGTTACATAACAGGAATGTTCAATAAAGTAACCAATGACACAGAATCAGAGCTAAAAATAAACCGTATTCAAATTTCTGAAAGAAGCGCGGAGACTGGTCTTTCCTATTGTTCTTTCTGCAAATGCACTATATCAAAATAGAAAGTTAAAATCAGCTGGAGTTTTTTTCAATCCTTGCACTGCTCTGGTTGTTGCACGATATTGTAGTTCGTATTAACGTATCTTAGAAACGTAAGCGTTGCGCAACATGTCACACGACATTATTGTCCGTATTACCATATCTTAGTAACGTTAAAGGGTTGCGCAACATGTTACACAACATTGTTGTCCATATTACAGTATCGTATTAATGTTAGAGTGTTGCGTAACACGTCACACGACATTGTTGTCCGTATTAAAGTATCTTAGTAACGCAAGTGTTGATATAACATGTTACACGACACTGCTGCCGTATTAGCGTATCTTTGTAATGTTAAATTGTTGCGCAACATATTACACAACACTGTTGTCCGTTTTACCGTATCGTAGTAGCGTTAAAGTGTTGCGCAACATGTTACACAACATTATTGCCCGTACTACCGTATCTTAGTAACGTTAGATAGATACTATATAATAAGATTAAATACGTCACTAATTTAAACGACATGCTTAATATCATTTCTAATATGGTTCATACCTTTTCATTTTTAATGACAGCTTCCTTCAAGTAGATGCAACGTCTCCAAGCTTCCAGGTAAAGTATCCAAGAACCTCAGTGTCCAGTATTCATACTATGGGGTCTAGCTTGACGTTGTAGCCGAGAGGGATACGGGCCAGGCCCCTTCCCCCTTACTCCTCCCCCCCCCCCCCCCC